AGAGATATATATATATATATATATATATATATATATATATATATATATCACTGGGTTAAAAACATCTAGTCGACTGAAAATCTTTAGGCTACCACAGATGGGTTTTGACCCAAATCTGTGACAATACAAGAGTCTGATACAGTGTTTCCTATACACCACAATTCAGAAGAGCCACTATATTAATAACTGAATTATTAATATATTAATACGTTTTGAAACTAATAATTGGTTAAAAATGAAAACGTGCCCAGTTAGTAAAACTAAAATCATACTGGTTTTCCATGACAAGTTCAAAACACATTTTTGCAATAGAATTTCAAAGTTTTACCGAAATAAATTTAGTGCTGCACGATTAATTAAAACAAAACTGAAATAGTGATATGGCTTAGTGTGAGAAGTGCTTATAAACCGGCCGTTGTTAAGAAAAGAGAAGTGATTTTCTGCCAAAATAAAAGCTTGATAGTTTAGGTTTTGAAATTGAAATGAAGACAATTAAAAATATTAATATTGTAATTTTTACAAAATTGTAAACAGAGTATTATACCATTATTTTTTCTTAACTCCTAGATTTAAATAAATAAATATTAAATGTCTTATTACAATATTACAAAAATATTACTTTATAAAATATTATCATAATGCCATTACTAATAATTAGTATACTAAATTATGTATGTCCAATAATGTAATTCAATAAATTTATAGATTTTTTTTATCAAATAAATAAATGAATAAATATGAGGGTTTTTTCTCTCTAATTAAAACAAAGGAGTGTCAATGTTAAGAAAGCTTGTCACAAGGAAACACTTGAGTCTTCTGCTGCTCATAGAAGGTCGTTCACGTGAGATGATCGTGCTAACCACATGGTTTGACTGAGCTAAAAAAACACAAGAAAAATCTTTCCACAGGAAACACTGTAGTTAGTACAGGAACTAAAAGCAACGCAGAGTGAAACAAATTTAGCTGAGGGAAAGCATTTCCTCTTCTACAACTAAACTCTCCTCTAAACAAGCCATTCGACATTTGTCACATTCTTGCCTTCTGCCAGCTTCAGCACAGGACTTTGACCACAGATGGCACAAATACAAATGTTACAGAGCCACCAAAAGTAAATCAGAGTAAAAGAAGAGACAGTTTCGAAGTTACCGAGCCACAGCGGCTGACCGCTTCTGTTCGGAGGCAACCGTATGACCTACATATAAATGTCATCTGTCCGTCTGTTTGGGCAAACTTGTGCTGGTTAAAGTATATATCTTTAGATGGAACTGACAAAATGGTGCCACAAGAGTTGACATGGGGAAGTAGAGCAATATTTCCTGTCACAGCTTTCTACAGGAAACGGTCAAAATTTCACAATAACGCACAACAAATTCACTAGAGGCCACTGGGAGACTGACTGGAATCATTCATCCCAGACTTCAAATGCACGGCGGTGAATTTTTCTCTCGATAGAGACTGTAAAAACACATTTAAAGCAGTAGTGGCCTTGAAGATGTGCAACTGCTAAATTAACCATTAAAAAAAACCCACAAGACTTGCAGTCCTAAACAGTATTTTTACCTATAATCATGGCGTACACACAATAAATGTGTGTTAAACAAGCAGAAGGGCTCATGTTACCCATGATTCAATAACACTGATGTTATCTGAACTAAACAAGTCTGGAACGGCACTGGCATTTAAGAATTGGCATAAAATGCGACGTATGAGTCCATTTCGACATGTATTGGCATAAAATGCGATGCGTGAGGCCATTTCAACATTCATAAGTTACTAGTACAGTCATTAGCACATATTCCTATTGATAACTAATTAGGAAATGCTACTGGTAACAAATTACCAGTGTTTGCCATTTCATTCTATGTGGTTCACTCAACTACTTGCTGGTGCATATTCCACTTTCACTATTAATGATGACAAGCACAAAAGCAATTATTAGTGACATAAGAAAATATATCAGTTGGGTTAATGCTATTTGTCTCATAAACAAGTATTAGTTAAGCTGGAATTGTTAACAGAGAAATACTGTAATTGAATTAGAAGCAACAACTTGAACAGTTGACCTGCTGTGAACCACAGATCCCTGAAAGGATACAGCCGATTGCTTAACTAGTCATTTTAAACACGCAGATGCTAGTTAGTTGAAAGCAAAGGAATAAATGTAAAGGAGCGCACGTGACTTCATCCTGACTGATGTACATCATGAAATCACAAAACGCTTGAAAAGAACACTTGAACTGATCTGGAGGAAACCGCAACGGCGTGTACACGGTGGGCTGTGATTTCTGTGCATCCATAACATAAGCCCTCCAAACCTGTGGATGTAGCCGTGTACGAGGGCGAGGTTTGACACCAAACGAGCCCACAAATGAGAAAAGCGCCGATGCATTGATCGCTTTTACCTTAATAATACTGGCCTTCCGTGGGATTCTAGTTTTGCCGTCCAGCTCCACAGACGCGTTGGCCGTCTTGAGCCCCTGGTTCTCGGGCGCACACAGTCCACAGTCCCCGTTTGAGACCGACACCTCGCTCGCAGCTCTGCCGTCCGCACCATCGCCGGGCTGGGCGGATTTCCCGCCAGCGCTCGGCGATGAGACCCCGCAGTTCTCGGCGACAAACTCCGCCATGAGCCCCGTGTAACGCACGCAGCCGCCTGTGCCTGGCAGTATTAGCTGTCGGTTCGAGTAGCGAGCGATTGGAGCTCCCCGAGAGACGTGAGAGAGAAATGGAGAGCCATCGCAGGTTTAATCCTCGTCGGCGTTTCTGCTTTGGCTCGACAGCGTCTGTCGCGGTCGATGCATTGTATCTGCGCGCACCGCGTTCGAATGTTTTAATGTTACAATGTTGCAAGTGTCATTGTTGAGGCGCTCACGCGGGTCTGACAGATACTGCCATCTGCTGAATTCACTTCACATCATTATACTACGCTGCTGCTTCGAAACACCGCGCAGTAGATCCGTGATCAGATAGAGCTTTACATGGAAGTGCACACATGTCAGAACATATATGCTGCAGGCAAACCGGGGCAAGTTGTCACAATTCACCGGAAACTCGCTTCTCATCTACGTTATCTCAATAACTGTTTGGAGTCACAAGTTTTTATTACAAAATTTAACAAACGTTTGATGGCAAGCACGTTGGTTTCAGAATCCTACTTCAAAACTTTATTACTTGAAGATAACTTGTGTAGATTTCTGTCATACATTAAGACAAAAGGCAACTGTACTAATGAAGGTGGGTTCCCCAGACGAGTGTATTTTGTCATTATATTTAAGCAAGTTGATTTAAAAGCTATAAACTGAAAGAAAGAAAAAATCACACCGTTTGACAATTTAATAATAAACCCCTACATCCTAGAAAAATATCAGCGATATTAGCTGAATAATATATTTTATATATTTGTTATTATCGTTGTTGATGTACCTATAGTAAGTTAACCAGTATTGCTAGAGATGCTTTTCTTCTAAGTAATCAAATGAAGCTACAGTAAGGTAGTTGAATTTATGCAGTTTAGAGGAATATGCATGCATGTCAAGACAGATGGCTGTTAACAACATGCTGCTGTTGCTTAATAGTCAAACATGTGCTGACAAATCTGTTCTTTGTGCAGTAAATCATCTCAACAAATATGAAAAGATGACATCTAGTAGTTAATGTGAGTTAGCCAGGATATTAAAGACTGTTAAACTCTACTACATCAAAAGCCACAGTATGTTAGTTCAGTTATTAGAAATTATATGTAAATATTCATGCATATTACAATTTTTCATTGTGCATTTATTATTTTTGCAATACTTTTTGGAGATGCAGGAATACACACGTTACTTTTAAAGGGGTCATATGTCGACGCGTTTCAGAAAGGCGGGGCATAGAGGAGAAACAATAATGTACAGTATGTGGACAATAATGTTTTTTTTAACCTTAAACCGCATAAACACATTTCATTACACCAAATACACAAAATAATGTTCTTTTTAGCAACATCATATGACCCCTTTAAATAGGTTTGTGAGGTATTTGAGTGAGTATCAGTATTATCTGTCGCATTGTTTACATTTTCCATTAATAGATCATCATCAAGTGTCTGAGCCCATTTAGGATTCATACAATTCATAAAGGAAATTTTCAAAGGATTTCTGACTGTTTGAGTAAATTATGCCAGTGCCACGCCCTGCCATATTCTTTGACCTCAGGTGGCCATATTGAATTCAGAGTTTAGCATGTTTATGATGATTATTAGTATTGACACATCAGACTAAATGTATGCCAAATTTGGTACAGAAGAGTAGAATAACCTAGAGATTGGTAAACAAAAGTACTTTTTTGTATAAAACCCCAAATATGATAGAAAAACAAATATGTATGTGGATTTTGATGTGACTTTTTTTTATAATGGATTATGAACCCATTTTGGCCAGAAGTGATGGTTTGAAGGTTTGAAAATATCTTAATGATGGATTTGTTTCTTGCAAACACGCAGCTTTTCACTTCACAAGACATTCATTGATGGACTGGAGTGGATTGTTGAGTTTTGCAATGTTTTTATCAGCTGTTTGGACTCTCATTCTGACGGCACCCATTCACTGCAGACTCAAGAGCATCCATTGATGAGCAAGTGATGTAATGCTAAATTTCTCCAAATCTATCTCAATGAAGAAATGAACTCATGTAAATCTTGGATGGCCTGAGGGCGAGTACATTTTCAGCAGCTATATAACTCTATAACTCGAACTGCAAATGGAGAGACTGGGCACACATGACTGCATGATTTTGCTCTTTTTATTTTCCCAGCACTGAATCACTGACACATGAAAGCCTGCTTGTTATTTGACCACCCTGAGCAGTTTAAGCCCGCCTCCTCACATTGTGTTCTCATACACGTGACATGCACATTTCAACAAGTAGCTTTCAAGCAGGTGAAAGTTGCACACGCTCGAGGAACACGCCAGACACGGATGTGCGGTTATACACATTTAACACAGATCATCTGCTGAAAGAAAAAGACGAGTATTCTAATCATTTCTGACAGGAAGCATGAAACGTTTGTGTTGATCATATAGTGTGCAACAGAGTCACCTGCTGGACACTTAGGTTATTACAAATACTTTTGTAATACACTGTAATTAACAATATGTGCCTGTATCTCATTATTATTTAGTAGATTTTTTTTCTTGCATGTCTTGGCCTAATAATGAATCAAATCAGTCAATTAATTAATTAATCAAATCAATCAAATACATTTTATATTAATATATTATGGTAAAATGCTTTAATATATAATAATAGCAATTATTATTATTGTAAAAAAAAATGTATGTGGTTATATAATAGTTTTTTTTTCTACTGCTCATTTACTTTATGTGAGTATATACAGTTTTACTATAAACTGTGCAGTCTGTAAGTATAATAAATTAAGTAAAAATCTTACAATAAGCCTCCCATGGCTTATTGATTTATAATATGGACATACATGGATCCGTGAAGCCTAATGACATGATCTAAAATCATTTGAATGATTTTAATAAAGTGATGTGATTACATAAACTGCAGGATTATGGTGCAGTGTTGCAGAAAATATCATTACATGAACATTCCAGCACACTATGCATAGAATGACCAAACATTTTTCTGCCAGCAGTCTGTCATTTGTGACATATCCTGTATTCACAGTCATAAGTTGTGCTTTCTCCAGCAGCTATTGTTTTCAGTATGTGGGTTTACCAGGCTTATAAAACACAAATGGCTTTACTTATATCTGATTGTATAAGCTTTACTGAAAAAAGGTAATAATGCAAAACACTTGCACTGGCCTTTTCCGTCATATTATTAAAGTACAGTACCCTTGATTTTTAATAATCATCCTATTTGAGGTATTCCACATAGAAAGAACAGAAATAGAAAGAAGTTAGAATATATATTTCACATTATAGGAAAGATGCGCTACAACTATCCGAAACAGGCCGCGCTTCATGCGATATGGCCATAGAAGATTTCATTTCCTTGCAATGGGGACGATTTTGTCTTCACACAGACAACTGGCTGGACACCACTGGCTCACGAGGGAGTGGTCACAAGTGGCCATTTCTTTCAGTTCATCGCAGTTGCTGAACGTGTTGATGTACGGACAGGGATTAGCTAGAAGAAGAAGAGAGAATTGAAAGTCAGTGAAGCAATAAACTCTTCTCAGAGTTGCATTCAAGTCATCGTTTAGGATCATTTTGCAACTGAAAACAGAAATGCACTTACTGCACAGACCGTCTTCACAGTCGTGGGGACAAGCGGCACACGGATCGCCCAGTGAGTACGGCGGGACTCCTCTGAAATTCCCTCTGAAATGGAAGAAGAAACATGGATGAACAACACAAACTGGGTTTAATTTGGGAATAAAACCTTCAAATATCACATAGACGTACGCGCGGTAGTAATGGCATCCGTAGAAGTAGGAGCTTCCACACTGAGCCACGGCACAGCCGACCTCATATGAGCTGTACCACACCACCTGAACACAAGCACTACATCTTACAATGTGCCATTTAATGATACTACAAACACATGCACTGCAATTCTGCTGAAAAAGATCTTGTCAAATGTAATAATTTATATGCTTTAAAAAAAGTCCCTTATTTTGATGTGTTCACTAACATACTAAACCCCAAGGAAAGTACAGTAGAGTAAATATACTAAATTGCAAATATATTTAAATACACGACACACAAGTTTGAATATAAATTAAAGAATATTTTAGTTTACCATAAATGCATTCAGCAGTACACTTTAATCATATTTCAGACAATACAATTATGAAATCATATATTAAGTCCTACTTAAGTGGGTCCAAAAAGCACTCTTCAACTGCATTTGAAGAAAAAAAAAAGAAAAGTGAACTACAATACACTATAATCAGTTAATTGTAAAAAATAACATGCAATTAAGGGTCTGAAAACATTACATTCAGTTTGCACTTAAGTATAATCTTTTTAAAAGTATGTTCAAATCTACTATTGTTCATGAGGGGGTGTGTAAGTGGCACAGAAATAACAGGATAACCATTGATTGCCACAGTATTTTTTTCCATACTATGGAAGTCAATGGCAAATGGTTTTGTGTTCAACAGAAAAAAGAAACTCATACAGGTTTAGAACAACATGAGGGTGAGTAAATAATGACAGAATTTCATTTTTGGGTGAACTATCCCTTTAAAGAACTCCTAAAAGCTGTCAAAATAAATGAAAAATCTTTTTCTTTCTTTCTTTCTTTTTTTAGTAGGATGATTTATATATATATATATATATATATATATATATATCATACATGACTGTTATATAAACTAAAAGCTACTGGCTTTTTACTAAAAATATATATATGAATCCTTGTTGCCATTTGAAATATATGAACGTAGTTAAAGGGGTCATATGATGCTGCTAAAAAGAACATTATTTGGTGTATTTGGTGTAATGAAATGTGTTTATGCGGTTTAAAGTTAAAAAAACACATTATTTTCCACATACTGTACATTATTGTTTCTCCTCTATTCGAACGAGCCGTTTTAGGTAGGTGTGGCTAACTCTTAACTTTTATAAAGAATATCTCTTTGGATTTGAGACTTTAGTCTTTACAACTTTACAGATCTTCTTTATGCACCAAGAGCTTGTAACACTCCAAAGAGAAAGGAAAAAATGAAATCGCATCATATGACCCCTTTAAGAAATCCAAATGAATAATCACCTGTGTGTGATGTCCAATCGCCTGACCGTTGGTGGATCCGGTGGGATATTCATAATTGTTGACTTCGCTGTGCCAGGCATTTATCACATCAGTCCATGAATAAACCGCAGAGGCCTTGAAGAGATTTTCACCCATTTCATATCCTGTCCATTAGAGAGAAAATATTCAATGAGGGAAACTGCAGCACTGCATCTGGTGGACTGCAGGCTGGTTGAAATGATAAAATGATATATATGTTAATGATTTTAAGGACC